GTCTTGGTGTGGGAACTTCTTAAATGTAGGGATCCATTTTTCTACCCATTTCAAAATCTTCGATTCTTCTTGTTCCTCAACCTCCTCCATATCAACATTCTCTTCTTTCAACTTTAGCATGCCCAAAAGTTTCAAGTGTTTTTCTGCCAAGGTGTCAATCCTATTGACTTCGTGTACCTCCTCATCATCCCCTGGTTGCTTGGACAAGTTGAACACATTGAGATCCATGGTCATGTTCTCAAATGCTAGCTTCATAAGACTGTTCCTGTAATTAATCATAGTATTAGATGTAACAAGAAAAAGTCTTCCAAGTATTACAGGGATTTGAGAGCTAAGATTTGTAATTGGGTAAGTGTCAAGCACAATAAAATCAATAGAAAAGTAAAATTTATCAACTTGCACTAAAACATTCTCAACTACTCCCTTCGGTGTTCGAAAACTATGGTCTGCCAATTGAAGCGTGATTGGAGTAGACTTTAATTCCTCAAGCTGAAGTTGTTGGTACACCGAGTATAGAAGGAGGTTCACACTAGCCCCCAAATCAAGGAGCGCTTGCTCCACCCGGCAATTTTTGATTGTTATTGCAATGGTAGGACAGTTGGAGTCTTTAAACTTTGGAGGTGTGTTTGTCCTCAAAATCGAGCTTACTTGATCGGTGAGAAATACTTTCTTGTGGACATTGAGCCTCCTCTTTACCGTTCATAAGTCTTTCAAAATCTTTGCACAAGATGAATTTGCTATATGGCTTCAAGGAATGAAATATTGATCTTTACCTGCTTAAACATTTCAAGTATATCAGCATAATTAGCCACCTTCACAGGTGACTTCAAACGATTAGGAAAAGGTGCAGCCATGGAGGAAACAAGAACATTTTTGTCAACCATTTTTTTCTTCTCAATCACCTCACTTTCTTTCTTCTCATACACCTTACTCTTGTCGGTGTCACCCATAGTGTCTTTCTCTTTTGGCCATGTGGCCTTGGGTGAGAGCTTTGACACAATGATTTTATCAATTTGCTTGCCATTACGAAGGGTGGTAACCGCCTTGAGTTGCTCACATCTCTCTCTTAAGGGCTCCAATGATTCAACGACATGTTGACCTCTAGGGTTTTCTTGAGATTGAGCGAGAAATTTTCCTTTCCCTTGTTGTGATGCCCCCATGGAGTTTGTCAATTTTGTGAGTTGGGTCCAATGTCATTAAAAGCTGTGGCATTTTGATTGTTGATGGTAGTTTGGTTTTGATTGAAGATAGTCTGGCTTTGAATGATAACATGAACCATAGCTTCCAAATTTCTCTTGTGGGATGTTGATATGTGGGAGAATTGGATGGTTCTTGGGAAAAGTTTTGTGGAGGTGGATTTTGGAAAAAATTTTGTGCGGGTGGGGTTGATGAATACCCTTACGGATTAGTCCAGGAGTATTGGGAGATAGATGCTTGACCTTGGGATTGAAATTGATTTTGCCTAAGAGGCGCGGGAGGTGTGTATACATTTAAACCATGAGGAGTGGGATTATCATTTCTCCAACTAAAATTCGGGTGATTGCTCCAACCCAGATTGTAAGTATTTGAATGTGGAGAGAATGATTGCCTCATTTGATTAAAGACATTGACTTGTTCGTGATACACTTTCTTAAGTGCTAGAATGTTAGGGCACTCCGATATGGAATGATCTATACTCTCACAAATTGAGTAGCCCTCTTCAATTTTTGAAACATTTGACACCTTGTGTCTTCTATTTACCTCAAGACTCTCAATCTTCCTAGGCAACTTGACAATTTGGAAAGTAAGTCTTCCCGGTCCCCCAAGTCATAAATCCCTCCCCCATGAGTTTGGCTATTCCCTTGAGGAGAAGACCTTGGTACATCGGTGGAATCCGTAATATCCCATGATTATGCATTCTGTGCCCCAATTTATCAAAGTAATCTAAGGTCTCATTGGGATCTTTGTTCAAAAACTCTCCATTACACATCATGTTGATGCCCCGGTGTGATTCCTTCGTAGAAGAAGCTCACCAATTGCTATGATTCAAAGCCATGATGTGGAATGGATTGTAATAATTCCTTGTACTGATCCCAACATTGGTAGAATTGTTCATTGGATTTCTCCGAAAAGTTTTGAATTTGTTTTTTTAGAGCGGTGGTTTCATGCTCCAGAAAAAAATTGTTTAAAAACTCGGAGAGCATTTGGTTCCAAGATGTTATGAATCGAGGTCTCAAGAAATTAAGCCGTATTTTTGCCTTATCTTTTAGGGAAAAGGGGAATAATTTCAGCCTAGTTATGTCTTTCATACCATAATTGGTGAGGAAGGTTGTAACTATTTCCTCGAAATTCTTTATGTGCAAATAGAGGTTCTCCTTCTCAATTCCGTGGAACGTGGGGAGTAGTTGCAACATCCCCGGTTTAACTAGGAAGAAATGATCTTGGACTGAAAGGAGGATGCATGAGGGTGTGGTGCTTCGTGTGGGTTGAAGGAAATCCCTCATTGACCTCGTCGGAGGCTCAATGTGAATGTTGTTCCCTTTATTCACGGAAGAGGGAAATTGCATTCTCGGATTGGGCATTCTAGGTTCTTGTCCTTCCCCTCCCTGTTGCATGCTTGGATTGACACCTATATTCTCAAAATTATCAATCGCATCCTCGGGTGGGTCTTGGTCAATGTTCATATTGAGGCCCAAGGGTTGTCTAACTAGTCGGTTTTGTTCGTTCCTTATCCACATATAACAAACTAACTAAAAATAGAGAATGTAAACAAACAAAAGTATATATAAGGATCAATGTACCTCAGCTCATGATGAACATCACAGGACTTACCTCCGTTGTCTGGAAATCACCTTTCTGATTCAACACTTGCCTTTCCCATCAATAGCGTAAAAAATGCTTATTTGTTTCCGTCGGTAGTATATCTTAAACTCCGAATATCATTCCTCAATGCATATAATCTATGTGTAGAGGGGAGTGTCACTTTCCCTTAGAATGATGTCAAAAGAAAGGACAACGGAATGATGGGTGAATGAAATGTGTGTATGAACAAAAATGCTCCCTAAGTGTAGAGGGACTTTTGCTTGTTGTGTTTTACTTGAAATTATATTCCAAGGTCGTCTCCTCAGGGAAGGAGGTGCATCATCATGAAAGTGAATGTTATAAAAATAAAGTGTAAAATTTTTTGTTGGTGTTTTAATGTAAGTAGTGATAGAGACCAAAATGACTGGAACTCTTGAGATTTAAAGTGATGATTTTTTACAGATTTTTCCTAGGCCGAATATACAATTCTTTCCAAGAGGATTTTCTAGACAAAATATAAGATAATTTCAAATGTAAAAAGTCACTCTTTTGTTCGACGATCTGGATATATAGTCAACCATCCGGTTTATTATACTTGTGCTTGGGAACACAATTAATCACCATGTTAACATGAAGTTAATCAGAAGATAAAGATGGACTGTGATGATTAATAACATGGTTCCGATGTCTTTGTAGAAGTTTACAAGAATTGTCTGTGCCGAGATTCAATCCGTATATAAACAAACAAGTGTTTCTACAAGACATTCAATTATTGCATTAGTTTTTCATTCTTTAAATGAAGCACAATAATGGTGAAGATTGAAGGTTAGGTATGAAGATCTAGTCGAGGTACTTGCCTTGAACCAATGAATCTTTCTATGCAAGAGTCATCTGTGTTATAGAAAGTACTCACAGTTATACAAAATACCTTAGCTTTGCTAGATGCATTCAATCATTTAATAAGCAAGCGAAATATAAAGCATTAAGTATAGATTAAATACACAAATATGACTTTTGGATGATTTATACATGTTCATCACCTCTTACTAAAGAGTGAATGAGAAACTACTCACTCTTCATGGCTTTGGTAAAGTTAGAAAAGTGGGTGATGCTCATCTCTCAAAGTAGAGAAGTTACAAGGTAAAACACATTACACAAAGAGCTGATCTTCGACAAAGAATGAATGAATCACATTCCAACCTTCACAGTTTTGATAAAGCTCTTGAAAAATGGAAGAGTTTCACTCCTCTAAGGGAAGAAGGAAACTCAAACAATGGAAGTAAAATAAAATAATAATATAGTAAAAGAAAACAATACTTAAAGTAAAGGAAAACAATAAATTAAAAGAAAGCAATAATATAATAAAAGACAGCAATAATTAAAGTAAAAGAAAACAATAAATTAAAAAAAAGCAATAATTACTTTTAGAGGATTTTTCACTACCAAAAGATGGAGATTTACAAGCCCTAAGGGGTGGTATTTATTGGCAAAAAAGGAGGGCTTGAATTACACTTTGATCCCCCTTTGTTTTGAGGTTTGATAATTTGCACGCCAGTAGTTTGTAGCTTTGATAATTGACTCCCTAGTAGTTTATAGATTTGACGCACAAAATCCTGAAAAGAACAACAATTAATGCATTATCCATAATTCACACACTAATCCTAATTTGACTAGTTTAATTTTGTTTAACTAATACAATTGACCTATTAACTTAATTAAATTATGCATTAATTAGGGTTAATCACTAATAATGACAATATTTGTGGTTCTCATGTTCAGGTTAAGGATTATTTTTGTGACGTCATCTTTTCCTGGGATAGAGAGGGCCTGTTTTTTTCGGAAAGTAATAGAGAGGGTCTGTTTGTTACAGCTTTTCCTGTGTTTTTTTGTAGATGTCACGAAATCACCATATTGTTTTTGCAAAACTCTGGTGGTCTGAATGTAGTTAATCCTATAATTTGCATGGCTGTGATTTTGAGCGGTGGTACAACCTTTAAACACCCAGGCACTATTCTTTTAAATCCTACAGTCAGCCAGTGGGTTTGCTCATTGAGTGTACCCTGAGATAAATTAAACTGGCATGAGTAAGCCATATTAGGGTTGACAGATGTTCACTTGTGTAAGTAAACGTATTTGCAATGCTGTCAACCGCAATTTTTGACTGACGTGTGGATTATCTGGCAATTACATTTCTCAGTGATCTTTATGAAGGAACACGGATGGCCAGGGTGGCAGATATTCCCGCAATAAAACAAATTATACAGCCTTTGGAAGAATCTGGCATTTTAGTCAGGAGGACTGATGCAGAGGTTTTCACTCATTCTATACTATGTACTTTTGTTCATGTCATAATGTTTCTGGTTCAGTCACCATTAATTAGTACTTGTTTTATGTTCCCAGGTACTTGAAGCACTGGAATCATTCACTGTTGTGGAGAGAGAGGGTCATATCATTGGGTGTGCTGCTCTCTTTCCTTTTGAAAAGGAAAAGTGTGGAGAGGTCGCTGCAATTGCTGTTTCTCCTGAATGCCGTGGAGAAGGACAGGGGGACAAATTACTTGGTACAATAGCGAATAACTTAATATTTTAGTGTTTGTGTTACAATCTTAGTTCGTCAGATACTGATTATTGTAGATTGAGACCTTTTGGTGATTCATTGTTTTCCTTTTTCTTGTTATAATTGAATGTGAAAGAATATGAATATTTGGAAGTAGGTGTAATTATAAGGAGCCATCAGAATTTTGAAGGTGTAAAGGGATAATAACATTTCATATTTGACTTACCAAAAGGAATAGAGATATCTTTTGCATTCAGTTTTCCAGTTGAAGTTTTGTTTTCTGCCTTTAAGGAACATTGCAGCAAATTCAAATTTGTAAAAAGTTGGGGAGCCAAGATGTGCATAGAAAGGGGGACAGATGAGCTGAGCAATGACTTAGAACAGCAAGATCCTGTATTCTACATAGTCTTCTCAGCTTTCCTTTATTTCACGTAATTGAGGATAAATCATGTGCTTCTATAACAAAATCTGAGTTTCTACTTGAAGGTTTAGGCAATACTTTTGAAATTAGTATTAAAACAATATTCAGTTAGCAATGAGAGGGCAGGTGAATATAATTTTAAAGTTCTTTTTGGCCTGTAATCAATGCAGCTATATCAATTTTGAGTCAGAGGCACACATTTTTGCAGCTTTTGCATGTTTCTGGGAATAGACGACCTTGCTGGCTGTCCTTATGAACTTCTTCACTTCATTTGAATAATCATTTGACGATAAATTATTTGCAGATTACATTGAGAAGAAGGCTTCATCCCTTGGACTTCAAATGCTTTTCCTGCTTACAACCCGCACTGCAGATTGGTATTATTTTACCTATTTCTGCTTTGTCTTATTTTCAAATTCTGATAACTGGCATGTATATTTGTTTCCATTTTTGGCAAGTTTAAACTTTCTTGTTGACTAGACATATTGTGAATTTCATGTGATTTATCGATGGAACAAACATGAATAAAGCAACTGATTGTGCCAAAATGTCTAACCATTTGACTGCATATTGCAACCATTAGGAGCAACAGGCAGCAGATGTGTGTTCTTTTTTAACAGTAGCAGATAGCAAGTACAGCTTTGGTTTTAAGTCTGTTTCTTTGTGGGTTGGACTATATGCCCACATCTTCATTCCTTCCCATGTATTGCTTTATTTTTTTATCAGTAAAGATGTTTGTCTCTCATAAAATAAAAAAAAGTTACTATAAGTGAAAAAAGGTACACCCCCTGGACCTTATTTCTTTTGTTATTCCCGCCTTTTGTGTGTTCATTGTGTGATGGGTATTATGTTGACTTTTTTGTCATTGGTTGAACAATGCCAAGAAAAAGGGCTGTTTTCATGATAATATTGTAATAACATTAAAAAAAAAATTTAAGGATGGTAGTTTCATTCACTATTTTCCTGCATTTCACATTCGTGATTCTGTGCGCAATGGAAAAGAAATTAAGAAACTTCCATCTGGTGTGCCAGCATTACATGAATGGGGAGTCCAAAACATGGCATCTTTTGGTATTTTAGTGCTCTGTATAATTGATCTCACTCTCTGCTTGACAGGTTTGTTAGGCGTGGATTTACCGAGTGTTCCATTGACTCCATACCAGAGGAGAGAAGGAAAAAAATCAATCTATCCCGTAGATCAAAATATTATACAAAGCAGCTGCCACCTGACTCGAGTGGAATTCGTTTCAATAGGGTGTATTCTTGAGCTTACACTACTGGCAATGTCTACATCTTCTCTCAGTGACTCCGCAGCAAGGGTTGAGTAAATGGTTCCAACCCTATCTTATGGTAAATGTTTCATTGCAAAAATAGTAGGAAGTGGCTCATGTTTTTAGCTTCTACTTGGGAGATTGGTTTTGCTTTGTTGAAATCATGGAACCAATGGTTTCTGTCTTCATCAAGCTTGTCAATCATTCAACGTGAATGTAAATCAAGAATTCAACCCAAAATAATGAATGCCTTAAAAACCAAAACCTTTTGACGTGTTGCCCATGTTTAGCGTTTGGACTTTAGATTATCGTGTGATTCTTTCCATCTCACCTTAAGGAAATAAAGTATATATACTTAATTAACTTTGACAATGCTTTAAGAGTCCGGTTCAAGATGTGGTTTTGCACAAACTAATTGTCAGAATGCAGGGTAGATAGTATGGTACTGCACTGGGAACTCATGTTACTTCCCCAGTACATTTGAAGGCGGAGATAACCAGGAGAGAAGGGCATGCATGTGCCAACGCAGGAATGATGGGGTTCAATTCTGTTTCTCGGTTTTGTGCCAAAGCTATGAATCGAACCCACAACACCATCCATCACAACGCATGACAACTGTGGTACAATAGCTTTGATATTCTGTTTTCATAGTCATAGGAATTCAAGAAAAAACGTAAATATTTCCCGTGCATTGGAGGATAAATGCCTGCTAATTTAATCGTACGTGAAATGAGACAAAGAAAAAGTACACTGCCACAGTTTAACTTACTAAAATCAAGGAGCCTGTTCGAGAGAGTTGTCTTCAATGGAACCTCACCGTTGCTAGTTGTAGAAAAAGTGCAACAAAGAAAATGCACATTGCATAGGATGACCTCTGCCTTGAGTATACCTAGAAGTTGATCTTCTCAAGGAAAATTTTCCAAATCGTCCCTGGATTGGATCTACTGTGTATGGATCACTAGTAATAATTTGAATACTATAGTTCTGTATGCATTTCCAATGACAAGGTCATGCCCGTCACCGAGAATGGCTTAAGTTCCAAGAACCAATGTTACCAATACGGTCAGCAACCTACCACGGAAACAAGAAACAAGAAAGGCAAGATATGAATCAGTTTTCCTCTGTTTTAGGAGGCCCTTCCACTTGAAGTTGTCTGCGTATGCCTTGACCTGCAACCGGAACAAAAGTGATTCAGGCAATCGAAGTTATCATGGTTACATAAAATAAATAAATACATAAGACATAGCAGTACAAAGGTCAATGGAACCAAATAGGCATACAAAATTAAAGGAAATTACAACCATTGATGTGTGATGTTTGCAATTTCAAATTGCCACTAATAAAAATGGCTAAAAATAAATGAGTGTGCTATATGTCCGATCCACAAAACATGATATGCCACTACCAGGTAACTAAAGGAAAATCCATGGCATATGCCAGAATGAATGGGTAAAGGACTATAGTGACAAAGGTTACTCCAAAACCACAAAAGAAGCCTCAGCTGGAGATGATTGGGTGACTCACTTTTTGGAGAGGGTGGCTACAAAGTAAAAATGAATAATGTATATGATTAAGTCAGGCTATCCAGCACAAGGCTGCTTGCTCATCCCTAATCAACAACCAACAGTCATTGCAAATGCAACAGAAGCTTGAGAAAATTTTCAATCCTTAGAGCCATCTAAACAATCATCCAAATTCCAGATTGCAATTGAAGAACAGGCCAAAAATATCACCAAAAATCTGCATTAGCTTTCATGCCAATAACTAAAGAGGAGACCCAAACCTTCAACATTGGCGCCTGGTGCTTCCTATTCTACAATTAAGAAATGTACGGTAAGATCTAAGTAGATATTGAAAACCAAAGTAACACGAGTAACACATTCATTACAGTTAAGTAGCTTCTTCATATTATGCTCGGGTAGGGGTGTTCAAATTTCTTCTTACCTGACTTATTTCGACTCTGCTCGATTGATCGACTTCTGCAAAATATTGGCCTACTAATGGAAGAATTTTTGATATTCTACAAAATATCGGGTAAAAATACAAAATACCCACAAAAATTTTGTCTTCGTACACCGCATGAATCTTACATTTAAAAAAAATTATATATATGTTGTGTTTTATTACAATTGTTTATGTATAGCGTTTTATACTTTTAGAGAACATATTATCGGAATTTTCTTTAGTGTTATTGATTTAGTGTATTGGTTTACATATTATTATATTATATTTTAACAGCATAATTGTAAAAGTAACTCAAAAATTACTTAATTGATTTGTTAAAATGATCTAAAAATTAATAAGTAAAAAATTATAAATATGTAATATATTCTGCAACCCTACCCGAATTCTAAGCCGATTGTTTGAAGAGAATCAGCGGGAGCTTTCAGTTTCAACTCCTAAATTACCTGAAGGTTCCGCTCTAGCCGTAGCATCAAATACCAATAGTTAGAATATCAAATCAGGGATGGGCTCCAATGGCTCACCTTTCCAGCACAATAGATCTGGTTCTAATCAAGCACCAAGTCGAAGTGGATTTAAGCATCGCCAGCGAACTCGTTCTGATCATTATGGTCGAGAAGGCCACCCTGCTGCCAAGTGTTACAAGCTACATGAACACCCACCGCATTCAAACGATGGTACATCCAGTATGCCACGCTCTCAACCACATGGTTTAGTTGCTTCATCTGAAAAATACATGTTTCCTTCTCCATCCTCGACACCCATACCCATTGGCGATCAGTCTTCTTCATTGCTAGCAACACCCATAAGTCAAGAACAAAATAATCATATTTTGGCCATTTTACAGCAAGGTAGAAATGAACCGTCAACCAATTTTGTAGGTACTGCTCTGACCTCTTTTCAGAATAACTCTTGGATTATTGACCGTGGAGCCACGAACGACAAGTGCTCCACACCTCGGCTGCTTCATACTATGTCGCCAAATACAGCTCTTTCTAATGTTCAAATGTCAAATGGTTCACCTGCACCCATAACTCAAATTGGTGTCACTTCCATTAATTCATCCCTGCATTATTCCCAACCGTTGTCTTTTTCAGGACCTCAGCACCAAGAGAACGATTGGAGTGGGTAGTTGCTGGAACGGCCTTTATCATTCACATCCTTCCACCAGTCTTCATACCAGTGTGAAGCCAACCTTTGACATTTCGCACTGGCACTTTGGACACCCGTCTGCTGATCAGTCAAGTTCTATTTCTGCATTGAATTCATCTGTCTTTTTCCAACAATTTTCCTTGTGATGTATGTCCATTAGGAAAACATGTCAGATCTCCATTTCCTTCCAGTACTAAAAAGATTATTTTTCCGTTTGAGTTAATTCATTTTGATATTTGGCGAAGTTTCACTATTCCTAGCAATTCTCTTGCTCATTATTTTTTGACAATAGTTGATGATTTTAGTTGTTGTACTTGGGTGTTTTTGATGAAATACAAATCAGAAACTCAATCACTGTCAAAATCCTTTCGTGCACTTATTACCAATCAATATAACACTCGGGTAAAAAGGGTGCAAACTGATAGTGCACTTGCCATTACTTCTGATGGGTTGCATTCCATATTTCCCATTAAAGGTGTTCGCTCTGATAATGGCACTGAATTTCTTTCACATGATTTGCAAGACTTCTTCAAAACACAAGATGTCACTCATCAACAAAATGAGGTTGTAGAGCGAAAGCACCGTCACTTACTTGATGTTGCTCGTACATTGAGGTTTCAAAGCAATTTGCCACTCTCCTTTTTTTTTTTGGGGGGGGGGCGGGGGATGTGTCCTTACAGCTGCATATTTGATAAACAAAATCCCCTTACCAGTGTCCTTGGGAAACCACCTTTTTATTTTCACACTAAAGTATTTGGATGTCTTTATTTTGGTCATAACCTCTCTCCTCAAAAACATAAATTTGAGGCACATTCGAGGCTGGGCATATTCATAGGGGAGTTGGCTTCAATATCGGTTTTATTTTTTTGGCATGATATCGAAAAAGTAAAAAAGATGTATTGAAGCCACCGATACATCCCAAAACCAATAGCTGCTAAAACCGGTATACTTTAAAAATAAGTAATAATAGAAATTAAAATTAGTTTAAAAAAATTATAATTATTTATTATACTTAAACATGCAATAAAAATATAACAAAAATTTTACAATATTTGGGAATATTGAGTGACATTAAATTTACCATTTTAGATTAAGTTAAAAATATTAAGACGTTAGGATTAGGTTATCAAAGTAAGTTTACCACTATTTTAAGTGATAATATAAATTAAAATTAGTTTTAAAAAATGATAATTATTTATCATATTTAAACCTTAAATAAAAATATAAAAAAAAATTATAATATTTGGAATTAGTGACTGACATTAAATATATCATTTTAGATTAAGTTAAAAATATTAGAAGGTTAAGATTAGGTTATCAAAGTAAGTTCACCTCTATTTTAAGTGATAATAGAAATTAAAATTAGTTTTAAAAAATGATAATTATTTATCATATTTAAACCTGAAATAAAAATATAATGAAAAATTTACAATATTTGGGGTTCTTGAGTGACATTAAATTTACGATTTTAGATTAAGTTAGAAATACTAGGAGGTTAGGATTAGGTTATCAAAGTAAGTTCACCACTATTTTAGGCTAAATTTCAACTAAAGTTTACCACATTTTTTGGGTATTAAAATGTTACATTAAGATTATGACCAATTTTTTGGGTAAAATTATCATTTTTTGGGGTTATATTTTGGGTTAGGATTAAGTTATCAAGGTAAGTTCACTACTATTTTAAGCTAAATTACAGCTAAAGTATAGTAAGGTTATGACCAATTTTTTTTTTTTGGGTAAAATTGTCATTTTTTTGGGTTATATTTTGGGTTAAGTTAAAATTATTACAACAAAGTTTTTCACTACTAAATAAATTACAACAAAGTTATCATATTTGGGTGTTATGTTAACAACTTTTGGTGTTAAATTAAATTAGGTAAAAAAATTTGGGGTTATATGAAACTAATTAGGTAGTTGAGGGTTTAATATGAAAAATATGAGGAAAAAATTGAAAAGGGTGATAGTTTAGGTGTATAAATGAAATTTATTTTGGACTCATGATTGAAACTTGATCGCTACATCCAACCATGACCGATCCAGATTAGTTTGCTACATTTGATCGCTATACCCAACCATGACCGATCAAATCAAGATCGCTACAAGTGATCGCTACGCCCAACCAAGACCGATCCAAATTAGATCACTATATCGGTTAAATAGCGATTATATCTTTTTTCTTTTCTTATTCCCCCAAGTCAACGAACTCCTTTACTCCAAAATTTCCATACCCAAAACCCTAGAACCCCAAATTGATTTCAAAAACTTGATTTTTCATACCCAAAATCCTAACAAGAACCCCAACTAGCCTTATCTCTCTCTCAGCTTGTGTGATTTCAAAAACCTGAGCAAAATCGATTTTAGCTAGTGAAATCGAGATTGAAATCGAAATCGATTTCACTGCCACCGCCTTCCTCTTCTCCAATGTATCCATTCTCTCTCACTCTCTCTCAATTTCATCATATTTTTGTATAGTTGCATAAGGGATGTGTTTTTGGGGTTGAACGATTGAATGATGGTTTTGTGAATGATGGTTCAAAAGTAATGCAATCCTATCATCTTCACATCTCTTTCGGTTATTATTAGTCAAAAATAATTGTAAACCCTCACACTCTTATCTTTATATAGCACGTAATTATGTTTTTGAAATACTAATTTAAGTAATGGAGTATACATGAACTAAGTAGATTATAAGAGTAGAGATAAAAATTTTGATAGTGTAGAATCGAGTAAATATTTAGTTTAAACTTAGTTTTGACTTGTAAATATATGAAACCGTTTGCAATAGAACTTATACCAACTATGTTTGATGTACAAATGTATGTTGTATAAGTTTGAGTTGGTTTTGGAAGGATTTGGAATGGATTGAAAATGAAAAACAAAGGAAATAGACAAAACTGAATAGACCGTACCGGTACTCCTGGAAGTTACCATACCGGTATAGCGTACTGGAACGCTACTGTCCAAAGAGTTTACCATCTGTAAGTTCCAGAAATTTTAAGTCGCGATTTGGGGTATACTTTTCACCCTATAAATACATAATGACGCTTCCATTAGCCCCATTTCAACATTTTTAACCCTCGGAAACCTTAGAGAGGAAGAAAGAGAAGAAAAAACACAAGATCAAAGGGGATTTGCACATTGGATTAAATCAAAGCCCTAGTTTGCTTTTAAGAACACCAAGGTAGGAGTTTTCTTCCATTTTTGTCCATTGATGCTAGGGCTAATATATATGTATTCTTTGACTCCAAATCTTATATGTTGGCTATGAAATCATCTTTTCTTGGTCTTCTTGCAATTATTATCATGTTTTACACAAGTTAGGGTTGAATACCCATGAAATATTTTGTTCTTGCTTTAAAACCCTAGTTTTTGGAGAGTGATGGATTTTCTGCTTAAATTCTTTCTTTATTATTGATTTAGAAACTATAGTGCTTTGAGTTGAGTACTAAAATGATATTGATGATGATCTCTTGCATTTTATTCAATTGTTCTATTGAAACACTACATGTGAAATTGAGGATTTATGGAATTGTTGTTATTTGAGAAAATTGTTAGTATTGTATCTCTTGTGTGGTTGTTGGATAAACATGAGCTACTATTGACCGGGTATCTTGGAGTGTGTAGACGCCTTCTTACTCCATGTGGGTTCGAACTTTTCCTACCACTCGTAATGGGGTTAGTGCCTTGCGAGGATTAAATCATTATCGCTTACGGGTTATCGTAGAAAAAGGGGTTAGTATACTACTCTTTGATTGGATACGTCACTATCATGGTGTTGGCATACGCCCTTCCTAAATGTTGAATATCCTTGCGAGGATTTGTGTGGATTGTACGTGGGCCATGATATTTTTGATGGTATCCATGCGAGGTCTTAATTCATACCAGAGATACGAATACAGTGGTGGGTTATTGTTCATTGTACCAAAAATAGTTTCTACAAGAATTTTAGGAAGTATAGGATTCCGAAAGAACTTAGGAAAAACGGTTTATAGTGGAATGGATTATTAGTTGTATATTGGTTTCACTTATGCATTAAATTATTAATGTTGCTTAAACTTGAGATCTGTTTAAATGTCTCGGTTTTCTTTCAAAATTCATATATGCTATTTGTGAAAGGTGACTGACCATTTTTATATGCTTTTCTAAATTTTTTTTGAGTTTGGGAGGAATGTTGCTTTAGAGCTTAGTGCTCCCCCTACAAACTATATTTTTCAGATTATGTACTGGAGGAGGATTTGAGAATTAAGGAACTGGCACATTGGGAGATTCCCATAGACGGGCATGTTGATCCCGAGGTGGACGCTTAGAACAATATTACTTTTTATTCTAGACTAGGAAATTTACTTTGGAAATATTGTGAAGTTTAGACTCTTTTGCAATTCCACTGCGAGTTTATGTTTAATTCTTTTGGGATGCAATTATCTTACTTTGGGATCATATTCTTTTGAGGATATATTTGTCATGTTTTGGCGTATTCTTTTGGGAACAAGATTGTAAAGATTACCTTTGATGTATGAAATTTCTTTATGGATGAATTATTTAGTTGTTTTCATGATGTGAATGGTTTTTAGTTTGTAATGCCATCTAGGGTGGGTTTTGGGGCGTTACAAAATTTTGGTATCAAAGCTTAAGCTTTAGGTCTTACATGGGAACTGTAGGTTATGGATTACCATTAGAGTGTTGGACTAGGTGGAATAGAATCGTTGATATAAATTCTACACACGTCTAATGCTTTAGATTAAAGGTATAGTTAGAATGTCTTGTACATCAATGAAACTAAATTGTGAATTGATGTGCAGGATGGACGGTAGGTGTGGATGTAGACGAGGTCGTGGTGGCCAAGCGAACCCACCACCACCACCACCACCACTTCTTGATGCCATGAACGACATCTACCAATGTTTAAGAGAGCTTACCACATTGATGCAAAACCAAAACGGGAATAACAATCACAACGGTGGGGTTCATCCACTAGCCCAA